GGCATCATCGTGCCGTATTTCTTCGAAAATGATGATGGTCGAGCCGTTTCCATCAATGGCGAGCGATATCGTGAGATGTTGCAGTATTTTTTTTGGTCGGAAATGGAAGGCATGGACTTATCCGATATGTGGTTTCAACAAGACGGCGCCAGACCACACACAACACCTGAAACATTAGCGGTAATCGAAGAACGTTTTCCAAATCGCATCATTTCTCAAAAGGCCGAAGTGGAATGGCCGCCTCGTTCGTGCGATTTAACGCCATTGGACTATTTTCTTTGGGGCTACGTCAAGGATAAAGTCTATGCCAACAAACCAAGCACCATTGCCGAGCTGAAAATTGAAATCAGACGTGTCATAGCCACCGTAAATGTGCCATTACTCGAATCTGTAATTGAAAATTTGGGCAAGCGGCTGAAGGTCTGTGAAAAGAGCCGTGGTGGACATTTGCACGATATTCTTTTTCATACATAAATGGTAAAGACCAAACTACAACATACAATAAAGATTTGGAAAATTGGAAACTATTTTCATTGTTTTTTTTATAAATACTTTTTTGCGTTGCTATTGGGACACCCTTTACTTGAAGTCAAATTTCAGCTCACCACGATGATATGATGCGTAACGTTGACATTCAAGTTCATGCGGTTACGTTTGAAGTAATTGACGACTCTATTTAGGTCATCTTGAAGTGCCAAACAATCATCAACTTGCTTTATTTGCATTGAAAAGCGAGTGTCATCGGCAAACGATTGTAAATTGCGATGGGGCAGATCAATGATGAACAGGACAAACAGCATCGCTCCAATCGGGTATCCCTGACCTGTTCCCGATGTTACTTCAATGGGATTCGACATGACTTCATTTAATTTTACTATTTGTTTCCGCTCGTTCAGGTAGGATTTTATCTATTTCAGCAATTGCTCATTCAGTCCCATAATTTTCAGCTTGTGTATGAATAAGTTGACGTCAACCGAATCGAATGCTTTAGCAAGATCGAGATATATTGCATCAGTTTGGATTCCATGTTGCATATTGACCAGTGTATGTGATGTAAATTCAGCCAGATTCATAATTGTTGACCTTCCTTTGACAAAACCATGCTGTCTGTCATCGATGATGTGCTTCATATGATAATTCAAATGATTTGCTACTATCGAGTCCAACAATTTTGGTATTATGCATTGCAGTGCTACTCCACGATAGTTTTCAATTTGGTATTTAGCTCCGCTTTTGTGCACTGGCCTCACGTAAGATCGCTTCCATATGTTCGGTACATAGCTAGAATTTAACGATTCACGCAGTATGTGTGTTATTGGCTTCAGTTAGAGGTGGCAAACGGACGGACAGAGGACGAACATTTCGTGTCCGTCCGTCCTTTTATTGGACATTTGTAACGGACATTTGTCCTAATGTCCCATTTCAAATTAGGACAAACGGACATCTTGTCCTAATGTCCCTTTGCCAAAAAGGACAAACTGTTCAAATCATTTAACAACTGATTTTGGCACTAAATTGAATGTAGTTAGGACTAATGAGTGTTTTTTTTTCCATTTACAATAAAAATCTTTTTACATCATGAACATTTTGAAAAAAAAAAATTTCTCCAATTTTCAAAATCAATTTTTTCAACCGTCCCGTAAACCGTAAATGGTTAATAAAAATGACAAAATTTGTGTTCGTCCGTCCCAAAAGTGTCTTATTAAGACAATTTGTTCGTCCGTCCTAAAATATTTGTCCGTCCGTTTGTCCTAATTTAAAATAGAAAATTAGGACAAATGTCCGTCATTGATTTTCTCCATAACCAACTCTTCGGTAACACCAATGCGTGGAAAGTTTGCACAATGATCAAATAATATCGGATCATTTTCATCATAATTAGCCTCGGATCCATCAATCGGCTGTGTGTATGCTTTTCCAAAGTGTGTTGCAAATGAATTGGCGATTGGGATGAGTCAGTGAATTTTTTGCCATCATATTCCATTTCATTTGGAAGATCATTGTTAGTATTATTGTACATTCTGACATATTCAAAGAATTTCTGCGGATCTTCATTGATCAATTCTTCCATCTCGAGTTTGTAGTTCCTAAAAGCAGAACGAGATTTATTCTTATACGCACGACGCAATTCTGAGTGATTCTTTCTCGTATCATCGGTCAAATCAAAATTTTTCATTCTGTGCAATATATTGACTCTGTTCTTCAGGTTAATCAGTTCACTGTTGAACCATTTAGGATGAATTTTCTGTCTCCTAGTTCTTGTTTTGATGGTCGTATCGATCGCATTATTGACTATCGCGTAAAAATGATCAACAGTATTGGTCAAGTTAATTTCATTGTGAACATTGTTCCAGTTAGCATTATCAAAATAATCGTTGATTGTTGAATAGTCAGCATTCTTGAAATCTTTGTATGTAATCACATCATTATTTCTTCCTTCAATTCTGTCATGTATGACAACTTCAAGTGCCTGGTGATGTTTCTCTTTTTCACTCACGACATTAATAGCAACAGCTACCTCTGGATTTGGACCCAAATTGATATCAGGATCGTGAGCATCATTTGCTTTGCATGTATACCAGATCAGGTTACTGGGGTTGAAGTCACCTGACACAAGCAATACATCGTTTTCATTGGCTTTCGATGCCACTTCACGCAATGCATTCATATTGGCTTTATAAACTTCCACCGGTGAATTTGGTCTTATGTAAACTCGGACCAGTATCAAGTTTCTGCCGTTGCATTTTACTTTGGCCCATACTTGTTCGGCTCCCATGTGTTCGGCAGTACCAATGCAATGCGGGTTGAGTGATTTGTCTATTGCTATTAATACTCCACCCCAAATCTTCTTCTTGATTCTTTGAAATCGTTCAGTATCGGTAGATCTGTCACAACGAAAAACCTCAAAGTACGGCGGAAATATTTCAGATGAAGAGACATCTGCGTTGAGGTGAGTTTTGCTCAACATGTAGATTTTTATATTTGATGCCAGGACTAGAGCTAAGAAGTTGATTGATTTCTCTCTATCTTTTACACCGTTAACATTGTAACAGTACATCACAGAATCATCAAGCATTGAATAGCGGACATTCAACTTTGGTATTGTACGTTGAGTGGCTGGTAAATTGAACCTTGCTGGATTATAGTTGAATTGCGTGGCTGTGTATGTTGTTGTTAATTTTGGTAATGGCTGTTGGTAGGCTGATAAAACTGTGGATGTGTGTGAAATTGTTGGAATTGACGGACTGACGGCATATTCAGCTGTGAATGTATTTGTTGTTGTTGTTGTGAATGGATTTGTTGTTGTTGTTGTTGCGGAGGAGGGTAAGAGTATGGCGGTTGATAACAAAAAGGAGGTGGCATGTTCATCTGTGGTATTTGGTTATCATAGTATCGTTGCGGTTCATGTTGATATGCATTGTTTCCATAATGACGATTTCCATTCATACTAGTATTGAACATACCCATATGATCATAACGTTGATTGTTGCCTCCAAATCGATTTGTCCCTCCATTCTGTCTCCGGTGGTTGTATTACTTTTCCGCAAACTTTGTTTGTATGGAAAAGTATTGGTTTTACTAGCCAAAATTTCATGACATCTCCTCTTTCCAAATTTATTTGTCACTGAATCACTGTTTTACAATTGAGTCATGAGGTGAGTCACAATATAACTCATAATTGAATGAGTCATAATCGGAAAGTCATGACTTTCTGTTTTGCGCACCAATACTGTACGTAGATTTTTCATGATTTTCGGTATACTCACGCATTCAATGAGTCATATTCATATCAATTCTGATTCTTTGACTCGACTGACTCATTGCCTCTAAAATGGAGTTAGAATCTAATTCGCTTCTTATGACTCATGAAGAGCCGGTCACATGGAGTTTGATTTACTTTGGATAATGAATGACTTCGATCATGATTCATTTCGATTACTCACTTCATGACTCAATTGTAAAACAGTGATTCCCTTTTCCGAATAGGAGTCATAGAGCTACATTGATATGAAAAAATTCGATTTCATGTACTTGCCATGGGAATGTACCGAAAAGTATTCAAAAATATTGACGATACGTGTTCAGCCACTAGACAAGATTTTTGCAATCTGGAAGTGGTATCTGCCAGCACTATTCGAGCACTAATTATAACATATTATGGTTTAACAGCACTGGCGGTGCTGGTGACATGGACCTACCTAAACTTTGTTGCACTGTGATATCGATTTTCATACATTTTTTTTCAATTTTTGTCGAATTCCTGCTCGTCACTGGTTGAAGCAGGAAATCTGAGAAGCAAGCAGAAATTAGTGGGCATCTAGACCTTTCAATATCAGCCACCAGGTCATCAAAATATTGAAAACTTCATTTGGAATTGACTGTTGGCGTGAAACCTTCGAATATGCAAAAAATCGATTTTCATGGATTTTTCGAAACTTTGGGCAATTACTGTTCGTCACCGGTTAAAGCAGGAATTGTGGGGAGCGGGCAGAAATTAAAGGGCCTCCAGACCTTTTATTATCAGCCCTCAGATTATTAAAATGTTTTCAAAATTTTTTATTTTCAACAGATTTAGTTTGAAATTAATTTTTGGGGCAAAACCTTCAAATATGCGAAAAATCGATTTTCATGGATTTTTTCGAAACTTTGGACAATTACTGCTCATCACCGGTTGCAGCAGAAATTCTGCGGAGCGAGCAGTAATCAGCAGAAATTACGTAGAACACGAAACCGTGCTCGGATTTAAATTTTGGGACCGGGGGGGGGGGCTAGCGTCACGGAGCTCAATTTCTTTACCATTTTCGACTCAATTCAGACTTTCATATGTAAAATATTTATTTTGAGTAAATTTTTCAATGGAAAAGTCGATTTGAGATCAAAATATAAGAAAATGGGCATTTTATTGCTCACAGGCCACCATTTCTTTCGAAAATAAATAGGAATTTTCTAATTTAGACAATAGACACCCCTATCAAACCAAAAATCGATAAATATTCTAGGCGCTCCCGAGTATGGATATGGATATGGAAATCAATATGGCGGCGGGGGATTTAACGGAAGGCCACCAATCTATGGAGGACCATGGGGTCTTGGCTACGGGAGACCTGGCTATGGTGGCTTCGGATCATATGGTTAACTGAAATAATCTCTTACCGCGTGATTCCCAAATACACATTTTGTTTCAATGAAAAACTAGGTTTCGGTGGTGCTTATTACGGATACAACTATGGGATCGGACAATATGGAGCTCAAGTATATGGTCGCTGAATGATTCAACTTTTTTTTTCACTTAAAAATATGAATTCCACACTAGGGGCGAGACACAAATTCTATTAGAGTCTAGTTACACTCAATTTTATATATTTTTTGCTTCATGTCCTCTAATTTTTCTAGTTTTGGTGCAAAAGTGCTAATATTGTGCTATTATTTCTAGTAAAATCGCTTGCAGAGCATATTACACTGTCAATACAACGCTTATGGAAGACCTAACGGGACTATTTTGTAAACAATAAACAATATGTCTATAAGCGTTAACATTGGCAAACCAAACTCACTAATTTCTTCTATTTTTCCTATTATCGTTGAATAATGTTCTAATTTTACTCATTTAAGTTTCGTGTCTCTCCCTTAGATTCCACAAATTAGCTTGTTTTCGTTTTCAAATACCTACATTTATTTCATTAAAAAATAACAATACAAACTACATATTCTGAAATGCAATTCCTTAATTAAATCATGTCTTTGTGAATGCCGATCACTCCATGGGCTGTGCTAAAGGTGATGACGTGCTGGAAAGGGATTCTTCAATTTTAATGGCGTCCTTGTATTGATCCTCTGTGAACCATTCCTTATGGGTTTCTAAGAATCTATAATAAGATTTGTTGATTTAGAAAATAATAATTTTCAAGTTAGAGTGAAACACATACTCAATAAAACAATCCAAATACTGAAGCAACAATTTCAATTTGTCGTCTGACATTGCGTATGTTGCATTCACAAAGTCTGGCAATTTCACAATTAGTCGACTTAAATGAACCGAACCATAAATCATTGACGGTTCAGCTGGTGCATCTGAAGGAAGAATTTGCCATGCCAAAATATCTTGTAGCAGTTCGCGAGTTTTCAATGGGACTGCCATATTCACGGGTAATAGCTGTCGAAGCAAACTCATGCTAGACATTTGAGTTACTTGCGTTGTTGCACCTGAATCGGAAGAGTTATTGCTATTAACTTCAGCCGAATGCTGGGCCACCACGTTCAAATCCAATATAATTTCGTTCTCTTCTGCATTTTTATGCGATCGTAAGCGCCTCTTTGTTGATTGTTCTTCACCAGTCAAATCATTGGCAACAGATGATTGATTTGTTTCTGAATGTTCGGATGCCAATGTATTGAGGGTACCATGCTTAAATGCAAACACTGCGTCCAGAGATCTAAAAATACGATGGTAAATTTATATATTTGTTTTTTTTTGTGAATCTAATGCGATCCCTAGTGACTGGCAAAGCATACTGTTTTTCTGATCCGATGTAAGTGAAGTTCTTTAGGTAATCGGATGACAACAAAACTGAAGCCTGTTCCATTTCTTGTTTATATAATAAATAATCTTTAAGGATGAAATCAAAATAAATGCGTAAACCATCTGCCACTTCCTTGCGTAGATTAATACTAAAAAAAAGAAATAAAATAGAGTTTTGGCATAGTCTTAATCTTCTGTAGATGAATAAGAATACCTATATTTGTTCCCTACCTAGTTTTTAATTTGTCATAATCTTTTTCACGTTTTTCATTTTTGGCTGAACTATTTCTTCTTCGGGGTCCTTCGGTGCCATTTATTGGTGCACAGATTGATTTGATCGAATAATATTTGACAAAATTTTCCAAAATGGTTACCACCGGAATTTTGGCCGGTAAATTCACGAGTTTCTGATGTTTTGTAATCATTTGATAATCATACTCCAGAAATCGTTTCAAATTATCGCTGAGTTGAAGACAAACTCTGTCATCCTCGACAATACTATCAGCCGAACTACTACACGATTCTTCAGTTTCCATTGTTTGATTGCCTAAATAGATACGAGAAAAAAACAAATTATACTATACTTTGCGGGCAAGTTAGAGAACGAATCAATCATACTGGGAATATTTTCGGGGACTTCTTCTTGAACAACGCTACCAGGTGTTGTACTACAGCATGAACTACCATCATCTGACGATGGTCGAAATGGGATTTTTGCTTCCACAGCATTCGTATTACTACTACCCTTACGCTTTTTTCGTTCTTTTCGATACAAGTATGCTCCACTGAAAATAAATGTAAATGAATAAAAAAAATGATGGATGTTTTATGCTGTGTATATCATACATACATTTGAAGACTTGACTTTTCGGCCAAATCACGCTGCAATTGTCTATTTTTATCAGTATCTTTTAAAACAAAATCCTCTTGAACCGCTCGGTCCCATGATGAATTCCAACCTATGAAATATAAACAGTAGGTGAAAAAGGCGTTCAATTATTATTATTTTTCGTTTAGCAATGTCGTAAATTCATGTTTGCATTGTTTTTTTAACCTTGAAAATGTATCAAATATTCGACAGAGCGTCGTCTTTTTTTGTCTTTGTCTTCCACAATTTCAATCACCTGAAACAACCAGCACATGTTAAATGTAACTCAAGTAAATATGGTGAAAAACATAAGAATCAAAAACTTACTTTTGAATCATAAAGTACTTTTGCCTTCGTTGGATCCGGCTCATAGCAAAGAACTCTTTCTCCAACCGCAAACTTATATTTGGGACCTCTAGTTGAGACCATTATGATTTTTCCGCCAGTTTACAAACACTGCGACTTATTTCGCGGCTCTTTTTTTACATAGCTGTTGATTTTTCGTTCAGCATAGACCAAATTTGGATTTAATAAAATGTATTCGATTCGGTATTTTGACTTTTTTCCAATCATTCAGTTTGTTTGGCTACCTTGTTGTTCTAGTATGCTTGGCTTGCCGTTTGATTTTATGCGTTTTTAATAAATTTTGACGTTATAATAAAAAGGAATTCGCGTTCGAATATGTTTATGTGGTGTAATAACCGGTAGGAAGAAAAATGATATTTGCGCTACTCCACCAACAAATCCAATGAAAATTGGTTGTATTACAAATATCCTACTAAGTTATCAGGTAAATCCAATTTTATTGAGAATATTTATGTCACATTCAGTTCTCAAATAGAATATATAAAGCATTAATGCACAAATGTACGTAAATTTTATTTCGAAAATGAACAAAGTGAAGTTGTACCATGTCACTAGTTCGAAAAACAATGACGTTTCAACATTTGACAGGTCTATATTAGCTCATAGAAATTATTGAAGCATTTTATTTACGCTCAACAAAGAATTTTGTAGAATTTTGGGAATTTGTCAAAAAGAATCTGCTTCATATAATTTTTTTTTATTGACTGGCAAAAATGTCAGGCCAGGCACAGTATAGTATTCAAAGTACGGCCGGAGCCGTTCCTGTTCGCAATGAAAAAGGTATGAAACTTACACATCGATATTTATAGCTACCAAAGCAGAAGACTCGAAGACTCCTATTGATATTACATTTTTCGTGTTTTTAGGTGAGGTTTCAATGCAAAAGGTGAAAGTTCAACGCTATATTTCCGGAAAACGTCCTGAATATGCACAGTATCGGTCGTCGGATGAAGAAAGCGAGTCCGAAGATTTTATCGATCGTAGAGCTCAAAGAAGCTTTGCAAATCGAGGTGATGACAGCTTCGATTTTATGCGTAAACGTGACCATGAACCATCAGTCAATGATGATTCATACAGAAGCGATGAAGGAGCTGATGATCCTCGTTTAAGACGATTAGCCCGTCGTGGTGGTTCCGATTCCGAGAGAGAAGTCAACAACGACGATGACGAGGATGAGGATGATCTTGACCGAGAAAGGCGTTTGCGTCGAATCAGAGAGCGTCGCATTCAAGAGCCCGAAATTCTAGAATCCGATAAAGAAGAAGCCCAAAGTGAGGCTGAAATGTATTCAGACAATGGGGACAAATCGCTGGATATTGAACGAAAACGTCGCATTGAATTGGACGAAAGTGGATCCGATTCCGAGTTGAGCGACACAGAGATTGAAAAGCGACGTCAACGGCTGAAGAATAAAATGATGCAACAACGAAAGGACGAAGAAGTTCTTGCAAAAGAAGAAGAGAAGCAGTCTGAGACTTCAGAGGCTGATAGCTCGTCGTACGAAGAGGAGTCTGAAAGCGAAGAGGAACATGAACCTAGAATGAAGCCTCTATTTGTTAGTAAGAAAGACCGTGCTACTATCGCCGAAAAAGAAAAGGAAGCCCAGAAACAAAAACAAATGGAATACGAAGCAAAACGTATGGCCAAAGAACGACGGCGGCAAACATTACGTATGGTTGAGGAGAGCGTTAAAAAAGATTTAGAAAAAGCAAAGGTAATATTCTATAAAAAAGAAGTAAAAGCAATAACATATTCATCAAATATCTTCTTTTTTTTCAAACAATTAAATGAATATTGTATAATTTTGTAGCCCGATACTAATGAAGCCAGCATTGATGACGTGTGCACAGACGATGAAAACGATGAAGTTGAATATGAAGCCTGGAAACTTCGAGAGTTGAAGCGTATTAAGCGTGACCGTGAAGAAAAAGAACAGTAAGTTTCATGGCACTGTATTGTAAATTTACAAAACTTAGCACGTTACACTAAAATTTGACAGTTGACTTTCGATTTGTAAATATTGAAATGCCTTTGTGTTTATTAGTTATCAAATTGCCACAGAAACCAAGCATTCAAGACTAAACTGTTTTCTTCTTCTTAATTTTACCTACAGATTGGAAAGAGAGAGAACTGAAACCGAAAGAGTTCGTAATCTTACAGAAGAAGAACGACGACAAGAAACTCGCCTCAATCCACGCGAAGTTACTAACAAGGCATCAAAGGGAAAATACAAATTCTTGCAGAAATACTATCATCGTGGTGCGTTCTTCTTGGATAAAGATGATGAAGTTTATAAGAGAGACTTTGCACAAGCAACTTTGGAAGATCACTTTGATAAGACGATTTTGCCAAAGGTGATGCAAGTGAAAAACTTTGGCCGTTGTGGTCGTACCAAATATACGCACCTCGTTGACCAGGATACTACAGACTTTAATTCTGCTTGGTATAGCGATACCTCAAACAACATCAAATTCCATAACGAAAAAGCGGGTGGCATGAAACAAACGTTTGAAAAGCCATCCGCATCGAAGCGAAAGAAATAATTTTAGTCCTTATCAATTTTCTCTTTGTAAATGCTAATAAAACCATCTCTGATTTGACAAGTGAATTATGAAATTATATTTTATTCAAACTTTGGAATATAGGAACACAATCATATGAACTGATTTTGCGGCATAGCAAAATGTGGATGCTTCATGATAAAGCCTTTATCATTGATTTAGTAAAATGTATTTTATTCAACAGGTCAGCCCTGTAGCGCATCTATTTGCATTTGTTGTACTCTGATCTTTAAATCCAACAAAATCATATTCTTCTGGTGAATTTCACGTTCTCTTTCCATCCTTTCTTCAGCGATTTTCTCCATTAGATTCCAGTATTTGGTAGATAAACCATTTGGAGTATTTTCTGTTGTGGGATCTGTTTTGACATTGTAATCATCTGCATCAATTCTTTCCAATGTAACGACGGGGTTCATGTCGCAATTGTACATTGACTGTTGAGCTGGCGGTGCGGTTTCTTCCAATGTGTCGATCGGCTCGAGTTTCACTGTGATTGGCTTTTCAAATTAAGAAAAAAAATCATTAATAACTGTAGCATTCAATAAATGTAAAACAAGACTTACCTTTGGCATTACAAAGAAATTGCTGTTGGAATTTATATCATTCAGGAGATTGATGACTGTTTGGTTCAACTGCGAAAGTGGTACCAATCTTCCATCGCGTTTGTATTTTCTGAGTTGTTCGGTGTATTTTGCCTTTGCAGCCAAATGAATTCTTGACCAACACTTTTTGACGCGTACGATTGATGTTCTTGGCATTCCAGCTCTGATCAACCCGTCGTAGACATTATTCCATGCATTGGATTTTTTCGAACCCGAACGATCACCATTTACCGTGTCTGGATTTCGTTTCATCAGTCCCACCAGCTTCAATTTTGCAGCATCGCTCCAAAGAACAGTACCGTCGTGTTTTCTTGTCCACATCTTGAATGTTATTTAATGCCGCAATGTATATGTCATTTTGAAATCTTTACTGTTTTGACGCTTGATCATAACACAAAATACACATGCAATGAATAGCGGTTAATGGTTTGTCGCGAGATTTGTTTGTATGGGTATGTTTGATTTTGTTCACACTTTAAATTTTCTGTGGTGTAAATTTCATGTTGCAGCTGAAAAAATGTCAGAGGTGGCGCTATAAGAGTTTTTACGTGTGGCTTCAAATGTCATATGCAAGAATGTTGTGACATTGTCAACAAAAACTACTTTTACTGAAGAAATCATATATTTAGCTCTTATCATTATTTCCACTATCCAACTCTAGTAAATTATTCTCAAAACGCATAAATGGATGACGAAGAAGAATTTTGGAATAAATCAAACATACAAAGTTTCAGCTTCGATGAAGATGAGAAAGTGAGTATGCTAATCAGTGTAATTAGTGCAATCGAAAAGACTCAAACATTAATTAAACTGAACAGGGCTTTGTGACTAAACACGATCAGAAGCTGTTCGTGGATGACAATGTGTCCGAAATTAGCTATGAACTTCCAGCAAGTACAGAAGTCCCATTGCGTCTCATTATATCCGACAATGACCTGCAACTAGGTATTCATATCCCAAACATTAAACATCAAATTGTTCAACTAACGATTCAATGTAAATATTCATGTACAATGTGTTTTATTATATATGTATATATTCATGTACCAGTGCTAGAGGAGCAGTCATTGAAAGAAACACCTCTACCAAAAATAATATCAATCGAAGAGGAGTTGAAAATTCTACGACGTAGGGCACATGCAGCGCCACCAGTTCCATCGATAATCAGGAAAATTCTATTGAAGAAACCGTATTCTTTTGAATGTTTTCGAGCACTCCACGAAAAAGAGAGCCTATTGAACGAAGCCATTCGTTGTGGCAACGGTGATGCAATATTAGCTGTAGTTCTGTTTTTGCAACGATCATTGAAAAAGAAACATTTTTTTCAAATTATGCAGAGCCATCCCGAGGCTGTGAAACACTTCATCAATTTTTTGATGATTCGATGTCAAGTGGCCGAAGCAACAGAATTTTTGACGTAAATATTTCTATTTTCATAATTTTGGATGGCTCCATTTTCGGGATTTTTTCCATTAACATTAACTTTTCATCCTTTTATAGAATGCTTGGAAAATCGAATGAAAATATTGTAAGTGATTCTTCAGTCAATATGTATTTGATATAAATGATCAATCCAAATTTCAGATTTTGCAATACGAGTCAATGATGAAACTTTGCAAGAGTCCAGATGTGAAGAAACAAAAACTGAATAAAATCTATAATGAATCTATTGCGCATCAAACGGGGTCAATTTGTCCATACTACGCAACGACTGTGACCAATTATATAGCATTACTCGAATGGCAACTAAAAGAGAAAATTAATAACCCAAAATTGATCAATATTCTAGACGCTTCTCCATTAGAAAGTTTATATGTGTCTTGCACAAATCACAAATGGAGTAGTGCATCGTTAGATTTATCAATAGCAAATCAATCAAATCCGTATTATTTTGCCGACATGTTCAAAATAGCACAGTCCCAGTTTGACTGGATAATATTGAATGAACGTGCACAAAGTCAGGCATGGTGCGATTTAGACAAAATTTTCGAGAAAAAATCATGGCATTCCCTCAAAACCACGAAATCCTTCTCAATAAATGTCCCCCTGGACCGTGTGATTTTCCAGCTAAATGCATTTAATGCGCCAGCAGATGTTTTGAACATATTCTTGGCACATATCGACGACCCACACCGTCGGCTAGCCGTCGCTAAGCGATGTCGAAATGCGGGCAAAAGTATAGTTGACTCACTAGTTGAGCTCAAAAACCGAGATGAATTAGAGCAATATATAGGAACCCTAAACATTCGAGATAATGTTCGCATTCATGCTGAAAACGCACTCAAAAATCTGGTAAGTATTTCTTTCATTTCCTATTTGCAAGTGCAACATAAAACAATTCTTTCTATATTTTGCAGCAAAAGTCTAAATGGAAAGCTGATGGTTTGAAATTGTTGAAAAATTAAAAATTGAACAACGAATATTCACTAGATGTTTTTATTCAATGAAAATAACATAGTACTAAAGCTATACACAATGAGCACAAATGAAACGAATTTCTTCTCTTTCATTTTGAATCGAAAAAAGTGACATTTAGACGAGGGTAAGTCTTTGAATAATTAATAACAAACCAACCCATCGAACCATTTAAATATTTATGTCATTCGTTATTTTGTGAAGGGGCTGAATGAAAGAAAAATCAATAAATTTGGAAACAAGTACACGCGAAAAATAAAATTATATGCAATAAATGGCAATAAGACATTATCTTTGTTTGAATTACACCCAATGGTTCAAGTGGCTAGTCATTTTTGTAATTATGCGGCAATTCTTTTTGTTTTGATGCTAGTAGGAACTGGTTTGTGTGCGCTTTGCTAGATGTTTTCAATAAAATCCTGACTGGATTATGTGACAAGACCAAAGCTTCAATCGTAGCGCGTTTATCGATAGCAGCATCATGGAGTTAAATACTTTCAACGTATTATTTTAACTTTTCTTTCTTCGTGTACGGATACATGTGTGTATAAATCGCACGAAAACCGTTTCGTTCGAACACAGTAAATAATTAATACAGGAATCCACATTTCTTATCTAATCATGAAAATTGAAGTCGTGATAACATCATGCACAAGCAAAAAATACTCCAAGAAATCGCATACCATCAGGTAACCACAGTTCAACCGATGTAATGTATCGTAAATGAAGTCACTTTTGAATGTAAATCAAACTGCGAATCATTCGCAGCAGTGAATTGCAGGTAGTATTTTTCTTCAAATATAATTTTTTTCACTGCCAAAATTGGGAAATTGTACACCTCGTTGATTGTTTTGAATTATTGTTCTCTATATATTTGAAAACAAGTTTCAAGACTCTAACATAACATTTGGTCAATGTATGAATATATAACAGATAATCGCTACCAGCTACGAAAATTGAAAAAAATATTGTCACTGAGATAAGAATTCGCGGAAAATAGGTCAAAGTGTATTTTTATGAATATCAAATCTTCTGAAGTAAAAAGATTTTACCGCCAAATCTAAAATTGTTTTTCTGGAAATGTGAGTCGAATTGAACAAAGTGCATTGACGATTCGAATAATCTTTGATGTGATTAAAAATTCCATTAAAGCAACTATTTCTATAAAAGTTAAGCTGAATCACTTCCACCGTCAATCCGAAAAGGGAAAAGAAATCTACGGCATAGCGTCGTACATGTACATGCTGAAAGTTCAGCAATTGATCGAAGTTAATAAACTCACACGACAGTTTGATTCAGTGAAACTAAGTCGAAGCATGAAAGGCAACAAAATACATTAACGAAATGCAATGTAAGTGTGTGAACACACGTAAGACAAAAATATTGAATAGAATTCTCGCCACCGCCCGAACTTCAGATCCACACATGAGATACATCAATATGCCATATTTCAATAATTTTTTAAGCGATTCTATTCGATTCGTTTCGTTTCGATTACAACTGAACGCTTCTTTATTAAACAGAATGAGGTATCTGTTAAAAATCACTTGCGTGTGCAAACACAATCGTACCGTCGTATACACGCTGAGCATGTGTCCGTTTTTAATAGACAACGAAATATCACAGAAACGGTCGATTGCTTGCGTCGACAGCACACGAAAACAGTCGCAGTGAAATTTCCGCTAAGAAAAGAGGTGTTCACATCATTTACGGCGCAGCGTATGTGAGTTTGACTTTGGTATCGCGACTAAATCGGAGCACAAAAGAGAACGACTTAAAAGTAAACTTTTTTTTCCTGAGAAAATCGTGAAATAAAATGTGTCGTTGTTTAATCTTGAAATAGCATTGTGAAATTGTGAACGACAAAAGAGCATCGTCAGAATTCTGTTTAGTGTAATCGGGATCATTGTCGCGAACACAAATATTATGTGAAATTTGGGCTGTTATGTGATCACGTTCTTTTCAGCGACCGCGAATCATATCTGAATGTATTGGTGTTGATGACTTCATTTTGTAGTCACTGTTTCGTCGTTATTTATCAAAATTAAATATTAAATGTAAGTCAAACAGAAAATATGCTAGTAATATTGTGCGGCTTAATTGCATAGTATTTCTATTTGAATAATTCCAATATTTATACGACGCAAACGCATTCAAATGTTGAACGAATTTTTTTTACTGTTATTTGTTAGAGAACTAAAAAAACTAAATATTGATGAGAAACAATAATAAGAGAACAACAAATGTGTTCAATTCATATGAAACGAAAAAAAAATTTATTTGAGAAAGAAAAAAGTGCAAACAAAGGAAAATTGTCGAGAAGTTCGACTTTTCTCTTCAATAAGCCTAAGTGTATTGAGCGCACATCAATTGCATTTTATGAACATCGAATCAAATTGATCACGCATATGGTTATGCTAAGTACAGTTGCGGACAAACGAAGCAATTAAAATATCTCCTTCTAATTTCGACATTAATTGCTGCCAATAAAACTGCGTGCGGCAATATAATATATATGTTGAGTAACCGTAGTGTTAGTGTTTGTTGGCTAACTGGCTATTTTTCAAATTTCAAGTTATTAAATAGTCGTTTCCGATTTGAAAATCCGAGAATGGACAAAATAGTTGAATTATTGGTGCGTTCGATTGAAAATTATATGGATCCAAAGAAGTGAACGAAATATGAACGTTTTCAGTGGATACATTTATTCTATGTGATATTTATATGACACAATAGATAAAGTCACCCAAGCAAGCGGCAATAAAAGTAAGGTGTGGAGCAAAAATGAATAAGAAATGAAGCACACAAATAAGAAAAATAAAAAATACAAAAATAATGACAAAGACTAGCGATGCACTCACACACATACAGAATTTTTTAGTGATAAATGGCTATCGTGCCGCTCACCACTTTGCATTTTACGTACTTCGTGTATATATAAACTGTGTGTTTACTTGTTCGGACCGAGTGCAGAGGCGGTTTGTTTTGGATTCAAAATTATTTCAGAATAACTGACTAAAACCTTTTTTTTCTGAATAAAACCCACAAAAAAGGTGGTTAATAGGCTTGTCTCATTAAGTCTATGGGATTGATTCAATTTAAAATCTTTGGTGCACTATTTTCGAAGAAAAACATGCGTTCAGCTCCAATGAAAGGCAATCTGGTCACTGACTCTACTTTTAATAGTCTTATTTCATCCTTTAGCAACTGCACTGTCATGTCTTGGATTTTCCACTTTTAGTATTGATTCCTGATGAAACACATTGAATCAAACTGAAAAAAAAAATGTTCATACCGTTATGTGTCTGTTTTCCATTGGAATCCACTATGATTTAAGGCAATTTGAGGTGGATAAAAATAGATTAATGAAAATACGAATTAAATACACATTCTCCAATTGATTTCAACGATACTATGAATATAAGGGCATTGCACTGCCGCCGCCTCACACGAACGCAAATTATCCAACAAGAACGATTCCACGAAACGATGGGACATTTTAAGGGAGAAGAATCTAGGTTACATTGTTTTTAAAGTCACATGTATTCAGTTTGAATTCATTTACACCAGAATATTTATATTATCGATTACGAATGTGACATAGAGGTAAAAAGGTATCATACAATAAAATAGTAATGTATTTGAGTTGTGGTTGTATTCGATGAAGTTGTTTGTTCATCATTCGAAAAAGGAATGAAGAATGCCCATTATTGAAGCGCTAGTTTGCAACGATCATGTTGTGACGTCAGTTGATTAGAAAATATTGACATTACATTGCTGTGTTTTTCAATATAAATGTTTACATGATAGCAGCAATAAGCATAAACTTTTAATTAATATTAAATAGGTTTACTATTTGCCAATGTTGTTAGCAAAGATTTCAGAATGTTTCACGGTTTGAAACGTTCACAAAAATCACATGGGACCCTAAATGATATTTAAAAATAAAATATGATCACATCAGTTGTCAATCAAATGTGTAAAAGTTCGCGATTTCATCGGTTTGCATTTATTTACGTTGGCTGTTGTATTGTGTCCGCGATTATTTGTGTTGGATGTACACATATGTACACAATACTGGACTTATATGAATAGGTTACAATAAAGATGAAACTTGTTATGTTCGATCTTAAAGCAGAACAAGAAAAATATAGCCTTAGCGGCGATTTTGACATGAATGATGGGAAAAAAGCAACTCTCCCATTCGCTTTGAATTTGACAAATGATATTGAGTGCAAATACCACCTGGATAATCTAAGGCTAATGAAAATACAATCGAATAAACTCTCCGTTCTGTCAAACGTCATACATATGGACATCACAAACTCGTCATAGGTTCTTCAGAGGGCGCTTCAGTCAAACGAGTTCCAGTCAAATACATGTACAAAACATTCCATTGTTGGAAAAAAGCGACAGAATTCACATTCGATGTTTGAGGTTGCATCTCGAACTATAATTGCTATTTTGACTTGAGTCACTTATTTCTCATCAGTAGTGTGAAAATCGCCAATAAGGCTATGTTCTACATTAATGGATTTTTTTCTCACTCCATTTTACCATCAAAAATATTAGGTTTCATTTTCATTATAAACCATTCGTATATATTTCCTAATTTACAACCATAGCAAATAGGAAAACGATCAAAATGTATTTTTTCAACACATTATCGCGTTAGATTTCCAATGTAACTCAACTTAACAGTTCTATCATCTACAGAGCATTGAATCTCCTGGCTATGTAGCGCTGCTGTTGAACAGTGG